TGTATAGAATGTATAAAATTGAGTCTATATAAAACTCTGCCCAGTAACAACTTCACCGTATATATTTTTTTATTTAAAAAAAACAAACATACATATGAAAATTAAAAAGAAAAAAAAGTTAACAAAGCTTTGACAACTCCCTTGTTCACAATCCTGAGCAGATTTAACACAAAAAAAATAAACAGACATTTACAAAAGTTGAATTCCGGTTAATACAGTGAGTATTGTGCAATACCAACATCTAAACTACAGTGATAACGGATTATAACTGGTAACTTTTTATATTTAGGAAATATTGATTTGCAGTACTATGGATGATGTAGAAGTAACAATAACTCAGTCATTCAAGAAACAAAGTCATTATTCAGATTCTGCATAATATGGATGTAATATGTTGACTTATTGTATACTGATGTTGTCTTATGTCCCATACTCATCTAACATATACCTAACTATGTCTAAGCCAGTAAGACAGAATAACAGAGTAGGTCACAGAATAGAAGAAAAAACAACAACCATCACTGTTACTGGTAACTGCTCCTTTAAATGCTATTAAGGAGGATTAACTCAGTCTCAGCCTGGACGTTTTCTGTCATCATGACATCACACACACACACTTTTAGTTGCCAATTCTCACACCACAGGCTCACCTCGGGTATTCTCGGCACCTCTATTGTTTTTTGTTTCTAATTTTAAATTGTCCTTTCTCTCAGCGTGCCGTGTTTGTTACACGCCGTGACATTTGTTTTCAGCAAATATTTTTGCTTTCATTTCCCCAGCTGCCTCACTTCATCAACAGCTCTCTCCCAGCTCATGACCGGATGACGGCCCTGCAGATCGACAGCTACTTCCGTCAGGAGCTCATCTACAAACGCAACGAGAGAATGGCCCGACGTGTCTCCGCTCTGCTGCAGAGAAACCCGAACCAGACCTACTTTTTTGCCTTTGGTGCAGGTGAGGCGGTCTGAATTATTGCACAGGTTATGTCATACACATCACAGATGAAGAAATAAAGGGGTTCTCTGCCCCAATCACAGCTCTGAAGTTTGATTGTAAAGTGAAGGAGAGAGCTGGTTCTCTGTGGCCTGCAGCAGTGACTGTGCCCCAGTTATGGTGTTAATGGTGCACCACTTGTTCACTTTAGTGCCTCACAACAAAACCAGAGAACAATGGAACAATAATATACAACAGTGCCCAGATCCTTCCCAGACATGTGTGTAGTGCACCCATGCACAGAAGTCTCAATTACAGCCAGCTCCAGTCTCACAAATAAAGAAACCATGAGCTGTTTGTTTCAATTAGCATTCCTGGCTAATGTGGCTAATGTTTCCTAAACTGTTGTGTGTCCTGAGGGACTCTTGTATGACTGTGTGTCTGGGTTTCCCCATGAAACAGGTGGTGGGTAAACGCCTGTGAGTTTAATGTTCTAGTAGGCATCTAAAAATGTGTGTGTGTGTGTGTGTTTACAGGAGAAAATAGTGAAAAGGATTTGTGAACAACAGTGTTTATTGCAGCAGAAAATCCCAGTCCTTTGTGTTCAGAGCAGCATGTGGTATAACTGTATCAATTTGTCCAATAACACAAACTACAAATAGAGACATCAGGGTTTAGACGTCCTTCTTGGATTACACGCCATTTAAGAAGAATGGGAATCTAATGGAGCTGCAGTGTTCCAACGAACCGTGTCCAAATGTAAAAATAGCAGTTGGTGCGAGACAAAATAACAGTCCTGTTTCTTATTATACTCATTTATGGTTTTGTCAGGAGAGCTTAAATACAGTGTGCTGCAGGTACAGGTTGCTTATGTTATATCCTGTTATTGTAATTTCTCTTCTGCACAACATCTGTAAAACTTACAAATTCAGCCAATTTGATGTTTTGCTGTTCAGCTGTTATGGAAAATTAGGAGCTCACGCCGTCTCAGGAACAGGATCCAAACAGCCTACCTCTGGACACTGTCCTTCTTTTTCTACTTAACGTTACCTGCCATGTCCTCTTGCACATTAAAAGATATCATCTGTATACAGAGAGTCATATAAACATCTTCTGGTATTAATAAAATACTCTCTGCTCAGAGTTTATTTATAAATCCTAAGGGCCACATACCTGAGTGGTGCAATCTGAGGTGATGTTGCTCCCTGGAGGCCGCAGGCAGCCTGCATATGGAGTATGAATGGAAGGATCTAGATGTGAGGTGTTCAAGGTCTGGCCTTAAAAATCCAACCTAAAACACTTGACATGACGAGATCCTAAAATAATATGTAGATAATATATTAATAACTGGTTGTGGAGACATACAGTAATATCATGGTCACATGTGTTTGTTACATCATTACATAAATGCTCGTGGCAGCCTGTGTCAGTTGCAAAGAAGCTCAGTTAATACATTTTTGTTTGCACTTATCTGGATTAGTTAATGCACATTAGTTGAGAAGCACGTATGCATTGGCTCAAGACTACTTCAGATGTGCAGCAAATACCGCATTAAGCGCCAGTCTGAAAAAGATTAACAATCTGGAATTTAACCCACAACCTCTAGGGTGCAAAACAACTGCAGTACCTATTGGGCTGCAGCCACCACCGTGTTTCCAGACACAAATACAAACAGACACATTTCTCCCTAATCATTGTGTAAGAGTTTGAAATCCATTTATCCAATTCACCGGATATTGTTTCACATAAACTTCACTAAACTCCATCTGGGCAAATAAAGCAGGCACATTTGACCGTTACAGATATTTGTGCTGCAGCCCTGCATAATATAATCCAGGTTGGCCTCTGGATTTTTGCCCTTCAGTAAAGCAGCTGTGTGTTTACCTTCCCCATGAGGGTAACCTGGGTGGATGGGAGGTGAACGCAGGTGTCAGGTCACCTACAGGCTGCAGCTGTGTGACAGCGGGTGTGAAGTGATAGGAACCATTGCTGCTGTAGGTTGCAACATGCATAAACACATGCACACAAACACACATGCACAATTTAAATAATCCCATACCTCGCCATGCTAACGTAGCCAAAGCACATGCTATAGTAGGGCCATTAGAGAAAACCAAAAAAAAAAAAAAAAAATTAAATCTGTAATTTATTTATGCAAATACACCATTATTTCTTGGCATCTGTTTACTTCGTCTGCTATTCAATACTCTAAATACATTGAGTAATAGACTTCATTAGTGAGCCTTTGTTTCTCATTATGATTAATGCCGTACAGCCTGTAGATAAGGCCTTGCCAAAAACCAGGCATTAAACGCCTCACAAATCAGGCCTAATAGAGTTTCTCCCACGCTTTAATCACAAAGCTTCCTATTTTCCACTCTCACTCCTGTCCTCAGGATGTTGACTCATGTCTTTATAGTCCTGTTATAATACTTTTACATCGGCTTTAACCAACCATGAAATTTTATCATCCAGTTAGTCGAGAATGCATTAGGGCGACAGTCTGGATCCACAGAATTCCGTGTCGTTGCTCTTTTTGAAGCGTGGCTCATCTCTAAAATCAACTTCCTGCCTTGAACCAGCCAAAATGTGCTTGATTACTGTAAGAACGACTGCTTTGAGTAATGATGAGAAATAAAGACGGCAAAGTGTGAGGGCTTAAAACTCTCCAGACATTTTAATCACAGGGAGATGAATTATAGCCATTTTCAATCCACATGTTGGTGTATGATGATGTGATCATTTTAAAACTTTATGATTCGATTTTTTTGGGGATAAAACAAGTTATTTCACATGTTTAAGTGCAGACAGCTGGCTGGAATATAAAATGTTTTAAAGCTAATGTGGGATTTGTGGACATTTGTTGACTTGGCGCTCCTTCTGGCCGAGTCAGGGTTTGCTGTTTTTGTGTTTGTCAGGTTGCTTTTTTTCCACACAGAGCAGATAAATAATATTGACCCTTCTGTAGCTGCATTGACCGTGGATCCTAGTCCTTGAAGTCTTGGCCAGTGTAAAAGAAAACTGGATTGTCGGGAACGGGCTGAGGCAGCACTCGGGTCATGGCTCTGTGGAAGTGCAGATGTTTCAGTCTGATCCAGCAGTTTTTCTCACAGGGCAATTAAACTATACGATGTGTGTATAAAGTGCCTCAGGCCGGAAATCCATTTCTGATCGGCACCTTACTTCCCAGTCTCCCCCCCTTTTTTTTCTCTAATGCACACCTACACCTTCCTGTCGCAGAGGTTTTCAAAAACAGAAAGTAGGCTTTTGTCCTGACTGCAGCAGATTCATGCTTACTTTACTGCCGCCTCTTCCTGAATCCTGCACAAATGTACATGAACACATGTGCCGCAGCAGAGTTTGACCTTAATTTTCAGGAACAGGTTATTATTACAAATGACTGTGGCAGGCTAAATGATCTCCAGCAGGCATAATTAAATTATTCGAGGCAGTAAAATAGACTGCCCTCTCACTGGAGTCTGCTGCTGGGCCAAGTTCATATAGTTTACAGCAGCAACGTAGTCGGCAGTAATATTTTAGACGGCATTAAAGAGTGCATTTTGAATCATTTCTATGTGCTGAGTTTGTACTGTATTAGTCTACACAGAGACTTGCAGATTACCTTGGTTACTCACTCTCTAATTTGTCAGTATTAAGTCACCTGCTGTGTGTTTTACACTGGCACTGTATCAAGTGACGAGACTTCATTTGGAACGAATCGCTAACAGTCTCCAGATTTCAGCCTGAAAATACAAGCATCACATACGTGACGCTTTGTTTCCATCTGTGAAAGGCTAGTGGAATTTCTTTTTTTTAATATTTTATTTTCCAAAAGTAGAAAACAATTTATTGTGTGTGTTGTTCTCAGTTGTTTCACTGACACCATCATTTGGTGATGTTAATGCTTTTTACTGGTATTCTAATGATAAAAAGTGGGAGCAGCCACTCTAATGCCTTTATGCTGTGTTTATTAACAACCATTAACAGGAAGATAAAGTCATGCACACTCAGTTAATCTGCCTCCACTAAGAAACACTGTATCTCTAAATGAATATTGATCAAACTTCTTCAGCTTTTCCATCCCCCTGGTTCTCCTCACTGTGTCGTCCTGTTCTTCAGGGCTGTGGTAAACACCATTACTATCAGTATTACTTAACTGGTACCAATCCCAGACATCCACTGTGGCCTGACGTAGTAATTCACTCAGGGCCAAGGGTGCACGTCACACTTTCCCTGCAGATAGAGTTGCATGGCAAAAACAGTCTGACACAGTGTACACATGCGTCTGTCATTTTGCTGCAATTGTAAACATATTCAGTAACATGGTGAGTTCTTATTGACTCATCGACAATAACAAAAAAAGGAGCTCAGTCAAGTCAATAGCGCACATATGAATACATGTAAATACTGGGCTGACAGCGGTTTCCAAAACGGAGTGAGTGCTGTGAGAGCAGTCAGCGTGTCGTTGGAACTCTGCGCTCTCCTTCAGCAGGTTCTCATTGGCCAGTTCCCTGGCAGCTGCTGCTCCGTCTTATTGAAAACATCCCAAGGAATTTCCTGACGCTGCTGTGGCCTAGACAACATTTTATACACATACACACTCACACGTGGGTTTGTGTATGTTTGCGACACAAAGTCAGATGATACCCACAGATATGTTGCCCCCCCCCAAAAAAAAACGAGTAGTTAATGTCAAAAATACACATGTCCTATTGTTTGTTTTGATGTCTAATCCACTACACATTTGTTTCCTGAGAGCAGATTTTTTCAGCTTATGATATAATACTGGACAGACCTGTAATAATCCATTGTGCAGTTACAGCGCAGCCATGTGTTTTGCACCCATTTGTGGTGGTGTGGCATTGAGGAGATGACTGAGAGACATGCCTTTGCTGGTTTGCATGTCACTCTCACTGGAGCTCTCCTTGCATGGCTTGTATCAGCCCTGATGTCAGTCCTCTGGAGCTTAGCTTTATAAATAGCTCTCATTCCATCTCATTACCTTCCTCCCTGTCTTCCTT